TATTATTTATTCATTTATGGGTGGGGCTTCCCAAAATTTGTGGGAAAATCCCACGATCTTTTCATTCCATTTTCTACGAACTTTTTGAAGCCCTCCGCACACTCCTTTTATTCCTGTGTCCCACTCCACTGCCCCCATGACAGGCGGGTCTTCCTGTGTGTCTGACATGCACTTCTTTGTTTGATCGCCTTCGTAAGCTTCGTTCACAGTGCTTGGTATTCTCGTCACCCATCACTTCATGGGAACAGTTTCCACATGCCCCGCCTCCCACTGTTCTCTCTAAGATGGGCACCCAGGCTTCCTCCAGCAGGTGCCACCTGCTCCCACCAGGTGACAGTGAGCATCATCCAACATGCTCTCAGGAGGGGCTCACTCTGGGGTCCGCTCTAGTGCCTCTGTCCTCATGGTCCCCAACAAGTTGGCCCCTGCCCTCGCTGTCCATTTCCACTTTCCTCATGGAATGCCTCAATCGCTCCTCCGCACCCACCACTTGCAGCTCCCTGACAGATTCAGCCTGTCGGTTCTCCTTCCCCTCCGGTCAGTGTCTGTGACCTGTGCTCCCGTCCTCCTCCCCCCCAGGCCCCCAGACTGTCTTCAGCACCTAAAGGGCTGAATAGCATTGTCTCTTCACCCACAGGTGGGGCTCCAGAAGCTTAGAGTCTGCACACAGCCCTCGGCAGAGAGCAGGGCGCCGAGGAGGGGCTGGGCACAGGCGAAATCACAACAGAAGCGAAAGCAAACCTCCTCCTAGCCGAGTCCCAGGCCGGCTGACCAGTCACCCTAAGCCTATGTATGGGGCGGGAAGGGCATCTGCTGAGCTGGGAAAGTTGTAACAAGTTGCCCTACCTTGTAAACAAACAAACAAACATACAAACAAACAAGCCTCAGCTCACTGCCACCCAGGCGATGCTGACTCATCGCTGCCCTGCAGGACAGAGTAGAACTGCCCCCCTGGGTTTCTGAGACTGGGACTCTATTTACAGGAGGAGGAAGTTTCCTCTGGCTTCCTCCCAGTGGCTGGTGGTTTTGAACCGCTGACCTTCGGGTTAACAGCCCAACACTGACTACAGCAACCAGGGCTCCTAAAGTTGTGGGTGATTCCAGTGTAGCTCCCAGGGTTGAGTCCTGGCTCTGTCAATGGCTAGCTGTGTGACGTCATTGCTTTGCCCCTCCGCCTCCCCTTCTGTAAAATGCGGTAGTCACCGTGTCTTGTCGCCTAGTGCTGGCAGGACGAAATGAGAGGATGTATTTCGAACCCAGCAGAACAGGTACCAAGTGCTGCTGCCCAAGGAACTTCTGTGACATTCCAGTAAGGACGGTCTGAACACACCTATTTTATAAAGGGGGAGAGGGGGGCGGGAGAGAGATGCTGGAAGCTTGCGTTGTCCATGAGCTCTCACAAGAAACGTGGGGAGGGATTCGAACCTCCATGCCAGCAGATCAGCAAGGGAAGAAAACCTAGGGGCTCCCGCGAGGGAAGGAGGGCGGGGCGGCCTGGCAGCTGGCGGAAGAGACCCGCGCGGGGGGCAGGGCTTCTCTGTCCCCGCCCCTCCGTGCCCGCGCCTGCGCGTTACCGGCTCCCTGAGCCCCAGCCGTCCTGCGCCGCCGGCTTGGGCTGTGGGGCTCGAACCTACCTGTTCCGCCCGCCCCGCTGCTGCTCCCCGGGGTGGGCGCCCTGCCCTCGCCCGGGACTCACAGGTCTTGCATGGGGCCACCTTTGTGACGCGCCGCCACCTGCCGGGCTCTGCTCATCAGTGCAGAGACCCAAACCTGGAGGTGCCCCCTCCGCAGACAAAGCTTGAGAGCCAGGCCCGCCTTTTCCAGGCTCGAGAGAGCGGGCAGCGCCTCATCTTGCCGCCCTCGCTGACCCTTCGGTCCCCTAGCTAGTGCTGCCCGGATCCCACGCGGAACTGTAGGGCGTGCTGCCGGTGTAAGCACATCTGTAGGCCCTTTCCAGTTCCTACCTCTCCTGCCAAAGCCTTCCAGGACCCCACTTTCCGCAGCCCCGGGTTCGTGTCTCTCCTCCACGTCTTCTGCCCTGGCTGCTGTCAGCCCTGCCCCCAGAAATCCAATACAAGGGAACAAGCCACATTTAGGCAGGATGACTTTTATTTTTCAGGGGGCAAAGCGGAGTTCAGGAGCAGGAAGCTTCATCTTTTTCGCAGGGAACGGTTGGTGGTTTCGAACTGCTGACCTTGCAGTCAGCAACCCAATTCGTAATCCAGGATGCCTAGAAGAAGCCAACACAAAAACTTGCAAATAAAACCCATCTCTTTATACAAATAAAGACTGTCAGAGAAAATAAGCAGATATGAAGCATACAACTTTCCTCTAGTTCTTTAATGCTTCCTCCCCACCCACACTACCATGATCCCATTTCCACCTTACAAATTTGGCTAGACCAGAGGATGTGCACTGGTACAGATCAGAGCTGGAAACACAGGGAATCCAGGACAGATGACCCCTTAGGACCAGTGGTAAGAGTAGTGATAGCAGGAGGGGAAGGGGAAGGTGGGGTGGAAAGAGGGAACCGATCACAAGGATCTACATATAACCCCCTCCCTGGAGGACGGACAACAGAAAAGTGGGTGGAGGGAGACGTCAGACAGTGTAAGATATGCCAAAATAATAATAATTTTTAAATTATCAAGGGTTCGTGAGGGGGGGGCAGGGAAAAATGAGGAGCTGATACCAAGGGCTCAAGTAGAAAGAAAATGTTTTGAGAATGATGATGGCAACAAATGCACAAATATGCTTGACGCAATGGATGTATGTATGAATTGTGATAAGAGTTATGCAAGCCCCCAATAAAAAATGGTTTAAAAAAGAAAAGCAGCAGATAGGATAAAAACAACACCTCCTCAGCCCTCGAGTACCTTTTCTCATCTAGCAGGAACCTCGCACCTGTTGCCTTTTTGAAGATGGGAAGCACCGGCATTTCTCCTAAGGAAATGGATATTAACATAAATAAACAAAAAGTTTGAGGTGTTCAAAGCAAGAAGTGTTACCAGTTGCCCTCCAGTCGATTCTACTCCTGGTTTTGGGGAAGTCAATCACCAGGCCTTTCTTCTGAGGTGCCCTGAGGTGGATTTGAACCGACAATCTTTTGTCAGCATGCTTACTTTCCCTTCCACTAGTCCCCCGGGCTCCCTTTGCCTTTCATTTCCGGAGCACCAGTCCTGAGCTACAAGTGCTTCACTCACTCTCACTCACTGCCATCGAGTTAATTCTGACTCTTTGTGACCCTACAGGACAGACTAGAGTGTAACAGACAGAGTGTAACTCTTCTTGGAAGTAGAAAGCTTCATCTTTCTCCTTCAGAGTGGGCTGGTGGTTTTGAACTACCAACTTTGCAGTTTAGCAGTCCTGGAGACTGGGAATAAGGGCATAGAAAAGGCATGGAGACCCTGCTTGACGCTTGCCCTCATGAAGAGATCACTGAAGCTGTGGGTGCTATAGCAATGTGTGGTGAAGAGACCAGATGGTGCCTGGCTGTCAGGGGGTTTTAAAGACTTGTCTTAAGAGCCTTCGAAGAGAGGTGGTCAACTAAATCCACAGAGAAACATATCAGCCTGTGTGAGCCGAGGATTGTAAATCATAAAAACCCAATCAGAAGGAGGTGAATACCCTATTTTCAAAAGGCTACGGATGATGGGAAGTTCAACATCTATTTGCAGGGTCTCCACATGGATGAAGCCTCCGGTGAATCCCTCCTCCATAGGCCAGGCATGTGAATAGCCTTGCTGTCAGACTGGAAGTCCGTTGTGGCAGGGGGGTTAGGTTAAAACGTAACACCTTATCACTGATCTTCCCTGTGGACCCCTTTCAAAGTTGTTTCCGTTTTTAATATTATCTGCTTTCTTTTTGACTGAGGTTGTTCTAGGTTTTGTCTTGTCGTTGGGGTGGGTTTTGCTCCCTGTTGGTGTTTTGTGTCATTTTCTGTGTATGACATACAAGAAAGGTAGCTTTATTGAGACTTTAACTGGATAGAGGCGTGGCAGGGGAGGGTGGGGGTAAACAGGGAGCCAACAACAGTGAGACGCGAGGGAAATGTTCTGAAATGGATTGTGGTGATGGTTGCGCAAGTGTTCTTAATATGATCGAACGATCGAATTGTATGATCCGTGAAGTATATGCCAATACCACTATCAAAACAGAAAAGGCACGGTGTCCACCCAGCCCAGAGGGTCTATGTGAAGCTCGGAACAGCATTTAAAATAGAGGCCTGTCATTAGCAGGGGCTGGTTTGAACAGATAAGAATTTACCCTCTGGACTCTTACGCAGCCATGGAAAGAAACCAAGACTTTGAGCCACACTATTTGACTTGGAGGGAACTTCTTGAACGCTGCTGAATTACACATCAAGATCAAAGAAGTGCGTGTGGCAAGACTCTAAATGTGTATGTTTGCGTATGGTTATAAATAGGATTCCAGATAAAACCAGGACATCCAGTTACATGTGAATCTCAGATAAACAGGATAATTGCTGAGGCACAGTTACACTAAAAAAATAGTCTTTGTTTATCTGAGATTCCCATTTAAATGGCTGTCAGTTTTCCAGTTGCCAAGTCTGGCAGGGCAGCTACATGAAGGAAACACTGAATTGTGGGAGGCAAACACCAACTTACATTCCTACCATCCACA